AAAATGGCCGACTCTACAATGATACTAGGAATAGGAAGTCTTTGTGAATTGTAATTTTTACGTGCCCCTTTATTTTTTACTGAGATTCCTATACATATACATAAATACATAGCATGTTTTTAATATAACACTTCGTCCTTATGTTGTCTTAGCTTTCTTGAGCTTAGTTTCGCAAAATACACTAGATTGCATTAGACTCTACTCGTATGATCAAGCACAGTCAGTCAGTACAATGTTACAGTCCAAATCAAAGAATCACAGTAATAATTTGCAAACCCTTTGATATGAGTATGACCCATTCATGTCGTGTAACAGAAAAATTTAGATTAGTACTATTAACATGTGGTCGTTGCATAACTCGCATGCGGCTATGAAGGCAGCTGCTAATTCTGGCGATGTTTTAGTAATTACAAACATTGTGTCATCTCTGTTCATAATACTTAACAACCGCTATAGTTATCGTTGGTGGTTCATGGAACTTTGGTTCGTCATAAATTGAATTATGGGAACAAATATCCTTATTTGGTAACATACATACATAGAACTTGAATTATGGGAACGAATATCCTTATTTGGAAACAGAGTTCAAAGTTCTAAGCTATAAACACTTAGTAACGAAATTATTAGGATGCATGATATTTACACTAGCCCGTAAGTTTAGTAAGTAATAAAGAATTCAAGTTACCTACATATTATTCGAATTCAACATTCTGGTCTAGAAGTTTTCTATTCTTGCATTTTATAGAATTCATTTCAAATCTCTTTGATTACCTATTCTTCTGCCTACCTATTTTCAAACTGTTAGTATTATTACTACTAGCCTATAGATCTTGACAAATACACTCTTTGACAGGTTTAGGTAAGTAGCTGACCAATAGGTCAGAGGAATCGGACGACAAGCAAAAGTTAGTAGATTCCAGTCCTTCCTAAACCAGTGCAGTTTTAAAGTGAAATATCATGGTATAAACAATTAGTCATAGTTAAGCATGCCATTTAATTAAAGTTAATTGTTTTAGGATATTAATCTTCATAATAGCCTGCCTGGTCGAGAAATGTCAGTCACCGAGTCATGACTACCCGATTAGTTGATTGCACCTTGTTTAAGTGAATTAATAACTCCAGTGCCCTTCGTTGTAAATCAGCAAAGGTACCTGGACAAACCAGTAGTTATTTTTAAATAATTTACCACTAGCAGCTAGCAGCTAGCGTCTTTATATCGTTTAATTATAAAAAGCAAGCTCAACTAATTTATTATCGCCTGCAGTGCCTCAAGAGCTGAACACTAATTTTATTGTTCCTGGTTTGACTTCTTAGGTGGAACAGAAAGTCGAAAAATCGTCTTGTATGCTTACGTTTTACGACTATCATTTTATTAATCGAAAAGTTAAATATGATTCCGTGATTCAGAGAACATGTTATGTCGTTGGTCCTTCTGATCATCGCTGGCTGGTCATTCGTTGGTCCTATCAACACTTCAACAGTCGTATTGATGGCTGCTAAAGTCTGACAGTTATAAAAACATCCACGATTGAAGGTCATGAGTGATCTAATCAAGTAATCTAAGTAAGAAGTGATGTTCACAAATATACCGCACTTACCATGCGACAAAAAATTGAACAGACAAGTATACTCGTACCTACGCTTCCATGGATGTCAATTAAAATAATTGTACATAAATATAATGATATCTATGTAAAACCGTGTCTTCTGCACAGTCACCGGCCATACGAGACACGACACGACCGCTGAGCGACAAAGGTTAAGGTCGAAGCGATTTCGGTATTTTTTGTAAAAATATAATGTGGTGACCTTGCCTCTAGGGCTGCCACATTCAAGTTGGTATTTTAAGTCTTCTGTTTTTAAATTAGCATAAAGATTGAGTTCAAATTATTACAATGACCATGTGAATTAAAAATTACTTTAGTCCTCGTTATTTTACTTGACACCGCATCCCAAAACTCAGTAGTTTCAAAAAATACTAGGTATTAGTTTAGGAGCCGCTTAATATAATCACCATTAGAAATCGTAGATAATTGTTGCAACTAAAATTGAAATAATAAATAGGCCATAAAGCGCGTGATAGTAATATCATCCATCATACGAGTAGTCTTTTATAATAATGTTTTATAAGTTTTCATTGTGAGCATGGTCGTCTCGTCGTACCTTAGTAAAAAATGTGGTAAAATAAAAAATATAATTAAAATGCTAGAGAAGAGATGCAGGTAGAGCAATTCAAAATGTTCTTTTTCGGAAAAAAAAATTTTGTACATTTCATTCGTTTATTGGAAGAAATTGCTGATTGACAACCCTAAATAAATTGAAGATCCCCAAGTACAGTCACGCTACTTGTGTCGCAGCACGACCAGTAATCAAGGCCTCTCAAATACGTAATAATGGTAATAGGCCCCGATGCCTTTGTAATAGACTAAAGCCTTTATGTTTGTCTGCACAAATAAGACTGTTTGGTTATTTGAAAGGTCAGAAGAATACATTAATCCGTGTTGAGGTCACTAAACCAATGTGAATGGGTTAGATGAGATTTATGTGTTAATGAAGTTATGAATGTATTAAAAATTAAATGCACGTTTCTGAATTAAAATTAAGTTTTAGTTCTCTATTTCATTGATTGAGGTTGCTCATTTGCTTTAACTTTCTGTATATTATGTTAAATGGTGATTTTTATTTCTCGTTTTCTTTACCTAATTAATGTCTTTTGGAGGTGTTTTATGATGTTTTTTTCCAAATTAAAAATTCGATTAAGCAACAAAGTGATAATTTTTGTAAGACCCATAAACCACAATAATGAGATTTTGAAGATCCTTAAGCTTCCTCTATTATTTTGGTGGTTGACTTTGAAGTGCGCAAGCGCATATTCGCGCAGCCTCCTTCAAGGCTTTGGCTGCGGAAGTCCGCGAGCCGAGCATTACAAACATATTCCTCGTCACGAATTGTTGCGTAAATTGCGAAAAAACGCGAATCTGCAGCGAATTGATATCGATCGTGATAAGATATCTACAGACGTAATTTCTACGTAGGCATAAAACTGCGCAAAAATATTTTAGCTAGTCGTTTTACGACGTAAAAATAAACGCAGTCTAGCTAGTTAGTGCAGCAGTTAGTTGGGGCAGGAAAGTTCTCGAGTGGCGACCACGGGCTGGAAAACGTAGCGTGGGCAGGCCTCCTACTAGGTGGACCGACGATCTGGTAAAGGTCGCGGGAAGAGCCTGGATGCGGGCAGCGCGGGACCGTTCATTGTGGAAAACCTTGGGGGAGGCATTTGTCCAGCAGTGGACGTCATTTGGCTGAAACGAACGAACGAACTAGCTAGTTAGTTAGCAAATTACAGTTTAATCAAATTGATGAAGTACAGTTATTAAATGTCCATTGGTTTTCTGATAGTTGTTGCTTGTTTGAAACGGTTTAACGATTTAACGAACGATTAATTCGAGAAAGTACGCTACTCTTCATTAAAAAATTCAGAGAAAATTCTTAGAGTTTAAAAATAGTTTCCCCATTTTGAAAATGAGCATCACAAATGCAAAAAGAAACTACGAAATGTAAAAGTTCTCTTTCCAATGATTTTTCCTGTAATAGTACTAAAGGAACAATCCAAAGAGCTTGCTTAATTAATGTAAAAAATCTGTACAACTTTGTTTCTGTTAAAACTTAGCACATGTCTGTTGGATTGATTTATACCTATCATTATAATATAATGTATAATATTAGTCTTCACGTTAAATGCATGCTGTGTTTGCCTGTAATAAGTTAATACATTGAACATGTACCTATTCTTCTTAAGATTTATACAATTGTATTGGTGTAATTAACTGTTGGTGAACCAAATAAATAAAATAAAAAATAAGAGATCTGGTCCTACTTCTTTATCGTCGCATCTAGTCCGTGGCTCAAATCGGCCTATATCCGCGACCTCTACCAGTCACCTGCCTTTCCCTTCCGATCGCTAATGAGCCATTGTCTGAATGACCATTAACGTCGATCGCTATCTCCGCACTACGACCTTAATGGGACTCGATACTTTATAAAATTGATATGCAATTTAAAGAAAATTACTATCCACTAATTTTATTATTCGGTGGAAAACCAGGGGAAAACGCCGCACTTTTTGGACACAATAATACGCTACATGTGCAAAAATATTGCAAGAAAATTGCTACAAAACGTGTCTTTTCTGCGGAAATTTTGAAATTGCTGGAATGATTTTCAGGATATTTTACACAATTAATACAGTAAACTACTTTTAATAAGCTCCTTTTTTACACACCGATGAGAAATTAAGTTTTAGTAGCAACTAAAACCAATATTTTCTATCGTTTTCGCATAAAATATCTTGGACGTGTAGTAAACATTAACGAAACGATTTGATTTATAAGCGATTGTAATTTGATAACAACGATTGGCCTCGATTATGGAAAGTTTAATCGTCTCCAGGTCAATTTATAATCAATTCTGCTCGCCGATTGAAGTAATTTATGGACGTGTTCCGTAATTTATCAGATTTCACTGCTAATCTTGGTTTGTCGTTTTCTAAGCCCTGTTAACCAGCAGATTTGAATATCATAATAATATTCTAATCGATTTATCGGAACCTAATCTAATGATGTCTGCTGCCGATTAAAACATGTGCCTAAATGAGATCTTTTCCTTTTTAGCGTAAGGAAATTCTAATTCTAATTTATTTAATTCTAATTCATTTATGGCTAAACTAGACACAATTACTTCCGGATAGTTCCAGACAGACTCACATTTTATCTACAGTTCATTAGTCCACATCAAAACTCGATTAACATCTCTAATCTAAGTATTTAGTAGATAGAGCCGTGTTTTAAATCTATTTGTAATTTTACCAATAATTCAGCTTTTGAACCATATTTTTTTCATCAAAGATGTAAAAAAACATGTTTTTTTTTTATACGTGTACAAGTTTAGGTCAAAATTTATGAGTGACTATCAAATTAAAATGTATTATCATTGCGTTCCAGGGTCGACAGACGTGGACATGCCGTCATCGCTGCTCCACTCCATCCAGAACCAGATGCAGAGCAAAGGCGGCTACGAGATGGCGTATGGTGTTAAGGTGAGCGCATTACTTACTTTTAAATTACAGAGGCTAGCACATCAAGCTAAATACTGTTAGATATACTTTTCTGACGACCTTATAAAGTAGCAGGAAGGCACTGGGTGCATGGCAGAACCGGGCGATGTGGAAATCATTGGGGGAGGCCTATGGCTGAAATGATGATGATGATGAAACTTTTCTATTGACTATCTTGGCTCTAGCTACGAATAGTTGATTCAGCTTGTCTTGTTCTCAATTAATTTCTATTAATATAATAGAAATTAATTGAGTTATTAGTAGATCATGAAAAATGGTTTTAGTAATTTTTCACGCACGCTTTATGAATAATGTAGAGCCTGTGGTTTTTTATTTATTTCTTTTTTATTAAAATTAAATTTCTAAGTTATTAACAATGCGTTTTCTTTTATTTCCAGGTTTATTGATCGAAAAGCGGCGCCGGTATGGACGCTTGTGGCAAAACAGAGTGATGTTTATTGTGGTCACTGTATTGTCCTAGGCAGGCCCGCAGGCTGAGTGTACATAGAAACGTTAAGTTAGCTTCGGTCACTTATAGTTTAAAATCTACTTTAAACAATCAGTTGCTAGATACAAAATGCGGTTAACCACAGTGAGTGATAGATCCCTTGTAGCCCTTTGGAATGTTTTTTATTTTTCAACGAAATTGTAGAGTTACATTTATTACGTCGGATTGACCCAGTGGTTTGGTATTAAAATTGGTTTAAAATTAAACTCTTAATAAAAAGAGTAAAATTAAGAGAACTAGTAGTTACTAGATAATAGAGTCAATAACAAATTGTGTTTAACTCTTACAAGTCGGTTATTTAATTAATTTTAAAACTGTCCTACAGTCCTTTCTATCCACAGAAAAGCTAAAACTGCAAATTATTTAATGCAATTATTACTGAGAACGCAATCGTTGCAAACTTGCAATCCTGAAAAAAATATTTTCAGCGATTTTGTGGCCGATGTAACATTTTACTATAGTGATCGAAGCACAATCAAATGAAATTAATGCAAGTTACCTATTTGATTTACGAAGGAACTATGTTTCTGTTTATGATCTTTGTTTAATGTAATGGAAATATTTAGCAAAATTAGAATACCTACTTGCGCATTCTAGCACATAAATGTACTTATTGAAACTATTGAAATACATATAAAAGCCTGTAAGTTTCAGGATTTTTCGGTGCATTTTTACTTTATTAACAGCCATAACTCGATGTAGACAATTTAAAGTTTTATCCTGTTACGAATAAACTTATTATAAAAGGAGGATATAATGTTTTGTTTGCTTGTTTCTAGAGACACTTTACAAATGGCAATAAACACATTACCACTCTTTGACGTCGCGCAGTCGGGTAAAAAAAGAAGTCAAAACACTGTGTCATTTGCGTTTATTTGTAAGAGGGTAGAATATTTCAATACTCGAATTATTATGACAAAGGTTTAATTTATACACAACCACAATTTTATGTACTTTAGTCCTGTGTCTCCTTATAAACGTGACAACAGTCTTATGTAAAAAGTGTGTTCTAGTATAGTTTCTATCTCCAATGTAATTTTAATGTAATCTTATAGAATTAAGAATAAAATAAACCGCGAACCAACAGACTAGCCTTTCCTTTTCCTAAATGAATATTAGAATTTATTGTTAGTTACTGAAAGTGAAGGGAAATTCTTGTTTACGAATGTACATAATGTTAGCTGATAAATGATCCATTTTACAATCTAAACTTTTAACGAGAAGTTTAGGTAAATAAATAGCTAATTTTTCAATCGTTGGTTAACTTATCTGAAGAATTAATTTGGCACATTGACAGTTTCAGTATGGGAAATATGTATCCACAATACATCTTCAATTAACATATTTCTTTATAATATCAATATACTCGTAATAATGTCAACTCTACCTTGCACGAATTCCGTCGATACTGCCTTTTTAAATGTATTTTTATATAATTGTTAGATAATATTAAATGTGTATGTACCGTTTTTTGTGTCTCTCTGAACTTACTTAGGTCTTCCTTAGGTACCTTGCCTAAATACTATTTATTTATGTTTCTAAATTACTATTTACCTTTTCACCGATGTTCTTATGACTTATAAAATAGTTTTATTATATTTAGCAATAAACGTGAATATTAATATTATTATACTTGCTTACATTATTATTTCTTCGACTATTTATTATGAATATATCAGAATATAGTGTATTCGCCAGTTCTGCTCAATACATAGTTGACCGTTGGTGTCATTTTTTAAACATTTAGTCTGAAATAAGTTATTCTCATAAACTCTTAGATTAATAAAGCATAAACTATAGTTATTCTTATTACAATTTTCAATGAATCGACTTTTTCTAATCTTTTTTAAATTCATATGATTATGTCCTAAGTAGTTGTTGTTTGCGAATTTTTTGTATGGATTATTCTATTGTATAATATAATAAATACTTATGAAAATGGTCTTCTTGCCCGATCCGTTTTGGGCACTGATTGACTTAAAATACTACAGAGACTGAAGTCGGAATATTTATGCTAAAAATTACGTTATAAAATACTACATGATTGAAATTAAATAGTATTTTATAATGTAAAACAAACTATACTATGTGTAAAGACTGTTATTCTGACGATCGTGAGCTTAGTTGGTTTGATTCAATAAACAAAATGCAATATTTGTTAGGCAATACTTTCTACAATGATAGTTTCTGAATGCAATTTTTGTTAGCGTGTCTCATTTAGTAGAGATTTAAACATGTTTTATGTACACTGGTAAATAATATGTAATAGTAAAACAGTACCATACCGTAGTACCGTATACTGTGCTCATTAACTCTTTTTGACGAGGTTTCAGAACATACCTAATAGCTCTAACTTTTGCAAAACTTTGGATATTTTAATGCCCTTTCTTTTTATTTCTTTAAATTTTAGTATCCTACTTTTATGCCATAGATAGGTAATAAATACATCAGGCCAGTGTTCCTATTATTCCCTAATGTAAAACTGGACTTACTTATAATATTAATTATGCAACCTATGTAAGAATGACAGTCTGTTAAATGTAGATATATGGCACTTAATGAACATGTGTCTCGAAAAACATAATTTTGTCCTTTTCTGAGCAAAACGACAAAGTTATCGTTAAAACTGTTCCAATTTATTAGATATTTATATTTATGGTGTAATGGACAAATTTTGCCCTGTATAAAAACATTGAAACTATCTGCTGGTTTTATTTAAAATTACTTATTTCTTTTATTTAGAACCTACATTCGCACACATCTACTCCTACTTTACCGTTATACCCTATTTAATTTACAGTTGTATTTAATTTATAGGTGGTACCTAAATGTAGAGTTACCGCTAAATTAAAAATATATTTGAATTTTCAAGACGTTTATTTCTGTAACTTACAAAACAAAATTTACAAAAACACTTGTAAACAAACTTACTTACAAACCTTATAATTTAGTTTTTCGTTACAAAAACTATTTGCTTATGTTTTTCAAGTAATGCACGCTTCCATTTTGCCATTCAAGTTCATTTCGAAGTGTTAACTAAAATTTCATTTTCATCGAAATGCTTTCCGAATTTCGCGTGTTTTACTTGTTTCGTTACAAAATTTTATGATTTAGTTGTTGTAAATTACAATAGTTTGGTTTTCTTGTGTAGGTTTCATCTTTTTCTGTGCCTATGTTCAGAACGAGCGGCGCTGGGTTTCGAAGATTTCTCTTTGTACCTCGAGTCGTCTACAACAAGGATAATCCAGAATTAAAATTAAGTTTTATGGCCGACTTTCAGGGGTCTGATGACAAACAATTTCTGATAGAAATATGTAGGTATATCAATAACCTTCTAAAAGAGCATCGCATTTGTAAAAAACACGAAAAAGATACAAGAACTGCAATGAGTGCAACCGTTTCTAAACTATGTTTAAAAATGACTGCTCTCGAAGAAAATATCCGAGGCACTCTACTCCTGCAAGATGCTACTCAGAATCACTATGCCTAGTTTGTCGACAACACCTTTGCGGTCTGCTGCTCTCCTTCGCTCGTGATTAACTAAAGATGTGAAGAATTGACCGCAATTTTCTCAGCAATTTCTTTGTGCCACACAGCCTGCCTAGTTTCCTAGAAGTCTATAGATGAAATATGCAATGTCACTGACCTCTATCCTTATGCCGATGACGGCGGCCGCGGTCACGGTCACGGTCCCTGGATCCACGCGAGTCAGGCGAGGAGCGGCGTCGCGGGGTGTCTCGTGCACCCTCGCCGCACCACCACCAGGCAGGCGGGGCAGACGCTCTATTACCGCAAAGACCTGCTCAGTGCTATGCCTAGTTTGTCGACAACACCTTTGCGGTCTGCTCCTCCCCTTCGCTCGTGATTAACTAAATAAGATGTGAAGAATTGACCGCAATTTTCTCAGTAATTTCTTTGTGCTGCAGTCTGCCTAGTATCCTAGCTAGCACATGGAAGTCTCCAAATGAAATATGCAATGTCACTGACCTCTATCCTTATGCCGATGGCGGCGGTCGCGGTCACGGTCGCGGTCTCTGGATCCACGCGAGTCGGGCGAGGAGCGGCGTCGCGGGGTGTCTCGTGCACCCTCGCCGCACCACCACCAGGCAGAGTGGCTAAAGCCTGGTCCGTGAGCACGTAGAATTTTGTCCAATGAACCCAAGCTACCCATCCTTATCGCTCGCTCGTAATTCTGTTGCTGTCGTGCTCGCACACTCACTGCGGGCGCCCGTCGCACAGTCGCGACAGCAATATAATTACGCGCGAGCGATAAGGATGGGTAGCTTGGGTTCATTGGACAAAATTCTACGTGCTCACGGACCAGGCTTTAGACGCTCTATTGCCGTAAAGACCTACTCAGTACTATGCCTAGTTTGTCGACAAAACTTTCGCGGTCTGCTCTTCTCCTGATTGACTAAAATAATAAGATGTGAAGGCCGCAATTTTCTCAGCAATTTCTTAGTGCCGCACAGCCTGCCTAGTTTCCTAGAAGTCTATAGATGAAATATGCAATGTCACTACCCTCTATCCTTATGCCGGTGGCGGCGGTCGCGGTCGCGGTCGCGGTCTCTGGATCCACGCGAGTCAGGCGAGGAGCGGCGTCGCGGAGTGTCTCGTGCACCCTCGCCGCACCACCACTAGGCAGCGGCGGTAGACGCTCTATTACCGCAAAGACCTACTCAGTTCTATGCCTAGTTTGTCGACAAAACGTTCACGGTCTGCGCCTCTCCTGATTGACTAAATAAGATGTGAGGGCCGCAATTTTCTCAGCAATTTCTTTGTGCCGCACAGCCTGCCTAGTTTCCTAGAAGTCTACAGATGAAATATGCAATGTCACTGACCTCTATCCTTATGCCGATGACGGCGGTCGCGGTCACGGTCGCGATCTCTGGATCCACGCGAGTCAGGCGAGGAGCGGCGTCGCGGGGTGTCTCGTGCGCCCACACCGCACCACCACCAAGCAGAGTGGCTAGACGCTCTATTACCGCAAAGACCTGCACAGTGCTATGCCTAGTTTGTCGACAAAACTTTCGCGGTATGCTCTTCTCCTGATTGACTAAATAAGATGTGAAGGCCGCAATTTTCTCAGCAATTTCTTTGTGCCGCACAGCCTACCTAGTTTCCTAGAAGTCTATAGATAAAATATGCAATATCACTGACCTCTATCCTTATGCCGATGACGGCGGTCGCGGTCACGGTCGCGGTCTCTGGAACCCCGCGAGTCAGGCGAGGAGCGGCGTCGCGGGGTGTCTCGCGCGCCCTCGCCGCACCACCACCAGGCCGGGGGGGCAGACGCGCGGGGACGTAACGGGGAGCCCCCGCCGGGGTATCCTGCGGGTAGGTGGGGCATGCCCCCCGGCATCTGGGAGAAAATAATAAAATTTATGTTCGATTCGCAAGGCTAGAGTCACCACCTCACTTCACTGTGCACGACGCACGTAGCTACTGACCTACTGAGAAACTTATTTCTTTTCAACCGACTTCAAAAAAAGGAGGAGGTTCTCAATTCGACCCGTATGTTTTTTTTTTTTTTTTTCTATGTTTGTTANTCAGAACGCGTTTTACTAGAGTTTTTCAGCGTGCCTGCTGTATCTTTTTGGTAAATAGTAGGTACTGGATTAACGATTAACGGACTTAGGATAATTTAACGGAAGTTAACGAGTCCGTTAACATTTTTTAAAGTTAACTTAAAAGTTAATCCGTTAACAGAAATGTTAACTTCGTTAATTAACGATTAACGGATTAACGAGTTAATGCCCAGCTATGCATTTTAGCCCGCACTTCAACGGGCTAGCGCCACGCCTCCTCAAGGCAGCCAGCGCACTGAGTTGGCTCCTCCTGAATTTGGGAGGGCCACAAACGAGGTGTCGTCTACTTTATGCCGGCGTTCTGAGGAGCATGGCGCTGTATAGCGCCCCAGTCTGGGCGGACGCACTCAACAAGAGGGAGAATGCTGCCCTTCTGCGCAGACCCCAGCGGGCCATAGCGCAGAGGGTCGCAAGGACCTACCGCACGGTAGGGCACGTTGCGGCGTGCGTCCTCGCTGGTATTCCTCCTTGGGAGCTAGAAGCTGGGGTCTTGTCTGTCATCTATTATTGGATGGCAGACCAGAAGGCGCGTGGAAAGCGCCCGGCCCCGAAGCGGTGCGGCGCCATCACGAAGATATGACTCGCGCGCAGTTTGGCCGCCATTGGTCCTGTTCTGGACCAATGGTTGGAACGACCGCACGGGTTCCTCACGTTCCGTCTGGCGTAGGTGCTGACCGGGCATGGCTGCTTCGGTTCGTACCTGCATAGAATCGGGCGAGAGGAATCCCCGTGTGCCACAAATGTGGCGCGGCGGATGACACGGTGCAGCACACCCTCGCGGTCTGAACAGGCTGGGAGGAGCAGCGCCGTGTCCTCACTGTGGTCGTTGGCCGGGATCTTTCGCTTCCGAGCCTGGTCATCGCGTTGCTGGGAAGTGAAGGATGCTGGAAGGTGGTCGCCTCCTTTTGCGAAGAGGTCATCCTTCAGAAGGAGGCAGCGGAGCGCGAGCGGGAGAACGATCCTCTCGCCTCATCGCTCCGCAGGCGGAGAAGGGGCCGGAGAGGGCGGTTATACGACCGTTCTACTCTGCCCCCATGTGGCGGCCAGCAGGCCGGGGGTGCGGGGGCACCCTTGTCACCTTCGTCTGACGGGAACGGCTTGGCGTTTCGGGCATTCCCGTCGGACCCCCACAAGGGGGGCGTGTAGGGTCCGCCGTGTAGGCGAACTGTCGCTGTAGCGTGGTGTCGCAGAAGTCTAAGGCTACGGCCGGATACTCGCGACACCCCCACTCGGGCTACGACGGAACGCCGCGGAGGTTTTAGTGGGTATACCCAGTCCTTTTCCCTTTTTAGGGCGCCGGGAGTCCCACACACCACCCTGTCCCCCGGCAGTGGTGACGGTGCGCAAAGCATTTCCTCCGCGACAAAAAAAGGGGGGCCCAAAACGAGCTGTGCCTAGGGGCCCCGAGATGGTTAATCCGGCCCTGATTAGAGTTAAAAACACAAAAACCGTATTATACTCAAATTCAGGTACAGATGTATGTAACTGGAATGACCGTTGTGATCTTTTCGTGTACTCGCCTGTAAAACATGGTAGCTGCACAGTGCGGGTACACCGTGATGAAGCATTCATTAAACATGTAATTTTGGTTAGTGAAAGATTTTACTTTGAACATTATTTAAAATCATTATATTTAGAAAGTATTTGTAAAAATGATAGTAATAATAATAAAACTTGTTCAGTTTTATAGTTACCAAAACGTAATTTTACTGGAAAAAATATAATCAATGTGATGTAGGTTCGATAAAAAAGTAAATACCTAAGTCATTACAAGTTATTTTATTATTTATTTATTGTTGTGATTTAAGTTTGACTGATATTAAGGATAAGTATCATTTAATTATTTTTTAATTGTTATGCATAATAATATGAATAAACAGAACATTATTTTGTTGGAAAAAATTAATAAAATAATATTCACAGAGACACATTCTTTTTTTTAAATATCGGGGGCTGTAAATTTACCAATACACAGCAGATATTATGTACAATGTCATTAATGCAGTAAAATAAATTTTCAGGAATTTTGTTCAAAATTTGGTATGCTCTTAATCTTTGCATTATCCTTTCGACACGAGTTCTTACACTGGCAATATTATATGTTTCTTGAGTCTCTTCTGTAGAAAATTCCTTCTTATTTTTGAGAAAGGGAGGCATAACAATCTTCACCTCTTTTCCACTTCCATCTATAACTGTTTTTTTTTATAGATTAATAAAACCAAGCGGCTAAAACAATGTCGCCATCATCCAAATAATCAATCAATCCGGATTCTATCGTCATTTGCGAATCACTTTTTCTTCCACCAGCCACTTTAGACTTAAAAGAAATGAAGCCTCCAGGAGTAATACCTATGAGCAACTTAGCAGTAAATCCCTTCTTGTAATGTGAATAACAATATACACGATTATCTACTGAAGCCGGAACTTCTATCCTGAACTCAGTGCAAATCTATCACTCTTGTATTACTGTATTTTGGACGGAAACAGTCTGGCATTGTGGCTTGAACAGTATCTTTATTTAGCCAAAAAACAAAATTAGCTGTTGATTTAGCTACATTTTCTAAAGTTGTCTAGAAAATCCTTGAGATTGTTGTTCTGTGAACACCAAACAAGACGCTTAGAGCCGAAAATGTCATGTCAGTTTTAACTTTTATTAAAAGAACAAAGAGTCTATCTTCTTTGGAAATACTGTATTTGTGACTGATTGTTATTAATGTTTTTAATAATAATCGAAAGTTGTTGAATGTCACTCCTGCGAGATCCATAAGTTGCGAGATCATTACAGATCGATGAAAACCCAGTAAAATCTGATTTTTCGGTTGAAGTTGTCATATCTATATATGTTTTTTGAGGGGTATTACATTCGTTGTCCTTCACTTTTTTGTAATTTTTAATATAAATAGTAGAGTTGTCTATTTCTGTTTGTATTTCAGCATCACATACTTGGTTATAAATATATCTATTACATGTAAATGTATTTCCTGCATTGTTAAATTTCGAAAATATATCAACTTGACATTCCTGATCACATTTTAAAGTCATGTCTACTTGATGAAATGTTTCAGATGAGTGAATAAATTTTTGGTTGGTTGGTATGGTGTTAAATAATTCATTCTTCTTTCTCTTTTTCATTAAACGTTGGTACCGGGATATAGCTGCTGATTCATTTGGTATTTTTGAACGATAGATTGAAGGAAATATCGTCGGTATATAACTGGGACTGGCTGACTCGTCTGATTTCTTGCCACCAATAAAATGAGCACTGCATATTAAATCATTTGGTCTTGGGTACCATGGCAATCCATCAGCACTGAAACAAAGTTGAATTTAAATATGTGAAATGGATTCTTTGATTAATATCAAATACAGGATTTAAATGTGGTTATTTTGTTACTTNATTTATTTATTTTATTTATTTATTAATAGGTACAGTTACAGTACATAGAATACTACTTATTTAGATGTTACTTATTTATGATGTTACTTACTCAATTCTCTTGACGGCAGCTATCCATTTCTTGCATTGTTCAAGTTTCCAAGTAGCTCTTGGGAATCGGTAAAACTTGCATTTACTATTTCTGCCAGTATTCTTGCAGTTTACAACACAACAACTACTGTGACTCATTTTTGTTAGCGGACTAATGCGATTAATTAATGATATTATAATGTATTATATTATATAGGTACCTGTTCTTCAGAAATTTCCCTAAATGTAAACAAATGTCAAATATGGCCACAGCGGGTTCCCTACGTTTTATCGAAAGTCGTTTCATCGAAGGTCGTTTCATCGAAGCCGTTTCATCGATTGGTCATAATCTCGAACGTACGAAATATCGAGTGCCGTATCATCGAAAAGTCACATTATCGAATGGTCGAATCATCGAATGTCTTAGAGTAGTTACACAGTTATTGAACACTGTTTTAAAATGACATTTCCATACTAAACGTCACAAGGCGTGAGTGCATCATACATCCAGGTCTGGTGGCCGAACGCTTTTGTGTTATAGTTAATAGCTATTTTCACTTTATAAACACATTTTTTATATCGATGTCATGACTAACTCCCTTACTATTAAAAAGTTACGCACTCGTTGAATAGTAGTTTAAAGTGACATTTCCATATTAAACGTCACTCTAAAGTCTAAACAAGTGTTCAGCGAGTTACTAACTTTTATTAGTAAGTAGGTAACTCTTTAATACATACATAACCTTTTGACGCTAAGATATTCGATGATTCGACTATTCGATAATGTGACCATTCGATGATACGGCATTCGATATTTCGTAGGTTCGAGATTATGACCAATCAATGAAACGGCTTCGATGAAACGACCTTCGATGAAACGACTTTCGATAAAACGTAGGGAACCCGGCCACAGCACAGGCCAACTGACATTGACGAATTTTTAGTCTGTCAGTTGATCTACTATAGTTCCAAAATACAGAGCCCCGATTACAGTAACTTTTATAACGTCTACAATCCAGACGCGTTTCTGATTCTGCGATACGATTGGTCAAAACCGCTGACGTACGCTGTTGAACGACCAATCGTATCGCCGAATCGAGAAACGTGTCTGGATTGTTGACGTTAAAAATTACCGTAATCGGGGCTCTGGACTGTCCCACAGATATGGATTAGAGTAGATGCAGCAAGTTGCTCATCAAAGCGTGCCATTCCGATATGTCCAAATGGACATACATGGTCGAGTGATGTTCATGTGATCCGATTACAACAATCAGTTACGATGATTTTACGAGGACAGTAGTAGGAACACGGTAGAAGGAAGAAATTATTTACGGATTGAATTAACAGCACAAGTAACAAATAATTAATTAGAATAAAGTAGCAGCAGAAGAAGTATAAAGTAGGATTGTTTTTAATACATATCCTGCGATGTACTATTATGAGTAATGTATGTGGTGCACTCATACCGATCGCAAGGAACCGTACTTACTCATAACATTATGACACACACAGATCCGTGTATTCATACACCAGACAAGTTATTGTATTGAATCGCTGGTAGGGTGAAAAAAATAATGAGATTTGACGATTTGTAAGAATTAATTTATTTAAAAAGAAAAATAAAGATGTTTTTGGTTTTGTATCGGGCCCCCGGGAAACCCCTAGTGCCAGACTTTTTGAAATAGACAGAGTAGAGGCATCTGCCTAAGGAAGTTCTATAATTTTGCAATTACCTTTTTTATAAATGACGGCGGAAGAACAATTTTAATCAAACCTTTTGATTTGTTTTGATTATTTTATAGGGCTTGTCTTATAGCACAATACTATTCATTGCACTTATGTGCAATAATAATATAATTATGAAGAAAAATCTTTTGTGTTTCATTTTACTTCCAACGTTTTTTACCACATTGAATTTTGTCGTTTAGAAAAATCTTCAAAAGTAGGTACCTGACTTAGCTTTATGAAACAAAACGTATTGGCAAAACTACGCATTTTTACATTTATTAACCTTTTCGGAATCCGGCTTGTTCGGGAGGCTGGAAGTCATCGAACCTACGCGCGAGACGGTTCGTGATGACTCTCGAAAACAGTTTGTAGACATGACTCAGAAGCGAGATGGGTCTGTAATTCTTCAGCAAGGTCTTATCACCTTTCTTGAAGAAGAGCACCACCACGCTTCTGTTCCATGCCTCTGGCGTAGTTCCCTGGAGTAGGACGGAGTTAAAGAGTCTCTGAAGGACTTTCAGTATCGGTGTTCCACCCGCATTCAGAAGCTCCGATGTTATTCCGTCATCACCCGGTGCCTTGTTGTTCTTTAGCTGTTTGAGAGCCATCCTAATCTCGTATAGGCTGATGTCCGGGATATCTTCGGTATAGTGTCGAGTTAGCTTAGCTCTTGGATCTGAAGTTGAGCTATCAACGGGTTTGGTGACCGAGGTATATAGCTGTCCATAAAACCTCTCGATCTCACCCAGAACCTCGGCTGTTGTTGACGTTACACTACCGTCCGCCGTCGTTAGCTTCGTCAGCTGGCTTTGCCCAATAGAGTTGTCTCTTGCGAACACTTTGGAGCCTTGGTTCCGCTCTATCGCCTCTTTAATACTGTTAGTATTAAAGTTGCGAATATCATGTCGCAAGGACTTCCTTATCTGTCTATTGAGCTGCCTATATGCCGTAGCGTCAACGGAGGACTGCAGCGTCATTGCACGTCGTTCTGCCATGAGGTTGAGGGTGTGGTCGGTGAGCTTTTGCGGCTTGTCTTTACGACGAGGTCTAAAGAATTTAAGCCCAGCCGCCTGGACAGTTTCTACGAACCCGTTATTGATCCATGCGATAATTACCTACAGCGAAGCGCCCCCGGCGGGTATTACAGTCGAGTGTCACGCGCGCGCCCGTCAGGACGCTGGCGTGCGTTGTAGTACCTAATTTTATGATCGAAGTATTATCAGGCCTATTCATCTCCGCGAGTTTACATCGAAAACAAAACACGCACGATGGCCCACCTACAGGATACTATTCGACAAGACCTCATATACGAGCGAACATTGACTCACGCACTCGTATTATTGTGTATGATGGAAAAAATAAAGAAAATGGTGTATTGTGCAGTATTTAACTGCCTAAATAATAATANTAGTTGAACGATGGTGGCGCCCCTCTGTCAATGAGTTTGGTGGGACATTGTATACCTAGAGTTTGACAGATTTTTGACGTTTGTCAAAGTTAAAGTAAGATGGTGCAACCATGGTGCAACTCAGCCTAACGTCACCTCCCATGTTGCCATATTTGATACTTACTTATTAAACAACCTTTCGACACTAAGACATTCGATGATTCGACCATTCGATGATACGGCATTCGATATTTCGTACGTTCGAGATTATGACCAATCGATGAAACGGCTTCGATGAAACGACTTTCGATAAAACGTAGGCTGGCAGCATTGCCACGTTGAATGGCCAGGCTAATTCTCTGACCGAAATAGTTGCCAGCCTTTTGATCATCGGTCACCTCGGTGAGCCTCTTTGCCAGTTCCTTATAAAAAGAACGAGCGCTTGGACCCCATGGTCCCATAGTCTCAACCCCAAACGGCACAAATATATAACTCTCATTGAGAGCTGCATATTTGCGCCGCTTGGAGCACTCAGCCGTGGCCGCCGCCGCGCCTGCGGCAAGGGAGGTACCTCCTGTAATTATGAGACGGAGCAAGCGTATCCGCTCATGTTGCATCCCACACAAGAGGACGTCCCTGCTTCCAGGGAATCAGCGTCATGCCGTCAGGTCTCTTGCCGTCGTCACGGAATATGCCGTTAGGCTCTAAAACTGCTGGCACATTGACGGCGACAAGAGCTCTGCGGATGACGTCATTGATGCAGGCGTGTCGGGAGACTCGACCAGCGCTCATTTGGCATGAGAGGCCATGGTGTCCTAACTCACCGACTTGGAAGAAGATATGACTCTAACAACACTTATGAACACTTTATTATGAATAAATCGCGGTGGTACCGCGGAGACCCCAATCGCGTCTCCGCGTTCCATTGAATCGTATGAGCGTATGGATTTTTTGCGATATTTTTCACAATTTCTATTTTTAAAAATTACCTATCGATAGCTTACTTTATTCTGATGAATAAATGTCATAACAAGTTTTTCTCTAAAACTGATAGTTTGGCTAGAAAATTAGTTGAAAACAGTTTGTAGACATGACTCAGAAGCGAGATGGGTCTGTAATTCTTCAGCAAGGTCTTATCACCTTTCTTGAAGAAGAGCACCACCACGCTTCTGTTCCATGCCTCTGGCGTAGTTCCCTGGAGTAGGACGGAGTTAAAGAGTCTCTGAAGGACTTTCAGTATCGGTGTTCCACCCGCATTCAGAAGCTCCGATGTTATTCCGTCATCACCCGGTGCCTTGTTGTTCTTTAGCTGTTTGAGAGCCATCCTAATCTCGTATAGGCTGATGTCCGGGATATCTTCGGAATAGTGTCGAGTTAGCTTAGCTCTTGGATCTGAAGTTGAGCTATCAACGGGTTTGGTGACCGAGGTATATAGCTGTCCATAAAACCTCTCGATCTCACCCAGAACCTCGGCTTTTGTTGACGTTACACNCGGTGAGCTTTTGCGGCTTGTCTTTACGACGAGGTCTAAAGAATTTAAGCCCAGCCGCCTGGACAGTTTCTACGAACCCGTTATTGATCCATGCGATAATTACCTACAGCGAAGCGCCCCCGGCGGGTATTACAGTCGAGTGTCACGCGCGCGCCCGTCAGGACGCTGGCGTGCGTTGTAGTACCTAATTTTATGATCGAAGTATTATCAGGCCTATTCATCTCCGCGAGTTTACATCGAAAACAAAACACGCACGATGGCCCACCTACAGGATACTATTCGACAAGACCTCATATACGAGCGAACATTGACTCACGCACTCGTATTATTGTGTATGATGGAAAAAATAAAGAAAATGGTGTATTGTGCAGTATTTAACTGCCTAAATAATAATAAAAACACAGAATGTACTTTTTTAAGTTGCCTCAAGACACTGAGAGGTAAATAAGTAGTTAATATTATTCATGATAATTCATGCTAAATCATGTATTTCCTCCGCCATTTTACGCAGTTTGGCACCTCACGTCACATCGTTTTACCGAAGTCAGCCCTATAGCTTCGGCGCAGTGCCGATCACTGACGTTTGTCAACAAAATGGTGCTTGACTCTTGAGACAGGCTAAATTACACCATATTGTTAATGACATTGAGCATACATTTTTT